AGTGTAGATTGGCTTGGCATTTCAAGGCTTCTTAACCCCCCGACCCTGGCTCCTCATTAGTGTTGATTTAGCACTATTTCAGGGCTGGCCATCTGAGGGCAGGATTGGAGGGAGGTCTGGAAATCACCTTGGAAGGGAAGTCAGGACAATCAGTTCAAGGGGGGCCTCTACTTGGAAGTACTTTAACTCTCTTTGAGTCTCAATTTCCCCATGTTTATTAAAGAAAATACAAATATTACATTTCCTCCTTATCTCAGAGCATCATTGTCAAGACTATGTGGGGTCCACCCTGACTGGCACGCACATGATACAACAGAGCAGCCCCCGCCAGTTCAGGGGAGAACAGGAGCATTACTGGTGAATGTGACTTTGGGGTGACCTGTAAAATGAAGTTGCCCAGGCTGCCCTAGGAGAAGTGAGGGTCAGCAGGGCAGAGCGCACATCCCAGGGGCCAGCCCTGGAGGAGGAGCCTGGGGCAGGAAAGGTGGTGATGGGGGCCTTGGGCCATACCTTGTAGCTATAGGGGCAGGTACAGTGGTACAGCTCCACCGGATCCTGGCTGCACGTCCCGTTGTTTTTGCATGGGCTGGAGAGGCAGGCATTGCACTTGGCCACAATGTTGATGTCCACTGGCCCTGGGCAGCAAAACCACAGAATGTTGGTAGTAGATACTCAGGTGAGGTCACTATCACATGTCCCACCTCCTCTGCTCTGGCACCTTCCTAAACTGGCTGCCAGCCCCTCCCCATCTCCACATCCAGCTGGCCCTCCTCAGACAGCACATCCTGTCCAGCAAGAGCCCCATTCATTCAGTCATTGCCCAGTGAGGAAGAATCACAGTGGGACATCATTCAGAAGCACTTTTGCAGTCAAATCAATTACTGTAATTAGCCTGATCTGATTTTGGTGCTAATCTGCAAACAATGCACCATAATTAGGAACACCCTGTGTATCTTTTCATATTCCAAAAAGCTCTGGGCCCGGGCTCCAATGGACCTCCCATTCACCCACCTCCAAGTACCCCTCTCCACAGAATAGTCCGTGCCAGGCTAACAAGGGCATGGCACCAGAGCCAAAGGCACTGAGAACACCCTCCTTGCAGAACTCTTGAATTGGCAGGAGGAAGTAAAAGCTCTCCCTAGAGCGCACAGCAGCGATGCTGATGGTGGAGGACAAACTGCTCAGGTATACTTCCAACCATGACAGTTTCGACTGTGTTCTGCTCTCTTCAGCTGTAAGGGCTGCAGTGAGGTCTCAGTCCCTGCGCAGAGCTTTGTAAATGGGGTTTTGCATTGCTGCTGCAGTCAGACTTGACAACGAGCCCTGGAAAAATAGTTCCTATTTAATGTCAGAGGCCATTGGTGGTTCAGCGGTGGAATTCTCGCCTTCCATGTGATTCGATTCCGGGCCAATGAATCTCATGTGCAGCCACCACCCATCTGTCAGCGGAGGCTTGCATGTTGCTATGATGCTGACCAGGTTTCAGTGGAACTTATAGACTAAGACAGACTAGGAAGAAGGCCTGGCAATCTACTTCCAAAAACCATCAGCCAATGAAAATCTTATGGATTACAAT